CCGCCCTAAGTGACAAAGGTAACCAGTGTCTTCAGGTGTGTTATGCAATTTGAGATGGCAGGTATCTCCAGAGGTGATGATATACCCAGTATGATAACTAATTATGCTATCCACATTCCTGTACCATTTTTTATTAATGAGAAGACAAGAGAGGTCAGAGCATAACTCTTAGGTTCACCTCTGAGGACTAGGCCAAGAGCTGCAGTTTGTGTGACTCTCTGGGGAAAGGCAGGTATCCTGGGTCTCTTACAGGCCCTCCTGATTGTTGAATTTCTCTGTTTGAAATGTCATCAGACAGCGTCAAGCCAGAGAAGCGTAGGGGGTTTCGGGTACATGCTTACCTTTTATCTCTGCTCTGCCTGTTAATTCAGATTAGAAACCCATGCGGCATGCTTCCTCTGTGCTTTGTGTAGCACCAACCAATTGAGATGCTTACCGAACGTGGATGATTGATGGCGGCGTTAATCTGAGGAATAACAGGCATTTGGGGCCTGGTCTCTGGGAAGCCTTTCTGTACTGGGTTGTGGATGTGTGTCTTGTACAGAGGAGGGGGAGACCCAGGTAACCGGCAATTGCAGATGCCAGGTCTGGGATGGCCCAGGTTAAAATACCTCTCCTGAGCTGGATGGGGGTCTGGGAGGGATGGAAGTTGTGAGAAGAATTACATACTTATGTATGATGTTTACAAAAAATAAAAACAAATGCTTCTCCCTTTAAAAATAAAAACACAAAATCAATCAAGCAAACAACAAAGAAGTACCACTCATACAGGCTGCGGAGCAAAACTTCATTGACAGTGCACGACAGAAGCACTGATTGTGTCTACTGCAGACCCTGGAGCCAAAGGGAAAGGAACGCCATTGTACTAGGGAGCCCCCTCCAGGCCTTGATTTGCTTGTGACAATCACATTTCCTCATACCCAGTGGTGAATGGGTGCTTCTGTGATGTATGGGCATGAAGAAAAAGTAGAATTCTGTTTGCAGGGAATTACCCACTTAAAGGGAACAAGTGCTGGTGAGGACTTGAAGAAACTGGAGCTCTTCTGTGGGTGGGAAAGTCAAATGGTACAGCTGCTGTGGAAAACAGTGAGGAGGTTCCCCCCATAATTAAAAATGAAATTACCATGTCATCAGCGGTTCTATTTCTGGATATATACCCAGAAAATTCAGATAGATATTTGTACACTGAAGTGGACTGTAACATTATTTAAAGTAGCCAAGGGACAAAAATAATCCAAATCATGTCTGTATATCATGAAATATTATTCATTGGAGCAATGGAGCTGGAACTGACCTAGAGCCACCTCCCCTGAAGGCTAGCTGTCATAGTTTTGGAGAGCACTACACAAGCTGCTAAAGGAGAACATCAATCTATGGTCAAACCCCAGCTTTTAGGCCTAGTAACCACACAAATGAGTGGCACGGCAAATGACATTGGTGCAGTAGTAGCACTTTTATCTTGGGGATAATCAACAGCTACCTAATTGGACTTAAAGACCATTCAATGGGAGGAAAATCATATGTGTCACTGTAAACATAGCCAAATATACATGACTGGAGAGGTCTTAAAGAAAACCCCAAGGCTGTCACATCCCTAGACAAATGTAATTTCTTACTATGTGCAAAACATGGATATTTATTGTCCTTACAGACGAGTATCCCAATCACCACTCATCAGAGAAGCTTCTTTTGCAACAAACAGATTATTACAAAGTTCCACAACTGGTCATAGACAGAGATTGTGAATTGCCCAAGTCTAAGTGACATATCTACAATGCAACCTCTCTCTATACCTGAGGGTCATGGAACATAGAACAAGGGATGAAGAGAACACTAATGCATCTCTCAATTCTCATCAACGAAGCTCCCTCATGTAACAGAGGGCCGTGAACATAAAAGGACACAAATGGCCCAAAGTGTAGAGACTAAGAGTCTATAGAATAGAGGTGCTTGGACAGGATTCTATATTAAACTCCACCCACCCAGGGCTCAGGCACCATTGTGAAAGAGGGACAGGAAGATTGCAAGAGACAGGGAGGAGGTGCATGACCATATGGAAATAAAGTCCTACAGGTTCCTCAGACCTTGCTCATATGAACCTACAGCAATGGTGTCAGCATGCAAAAGACCCATGCAAACTCAAGCAGACAAAAACCCAGCACAGAACTGTGGAAATAGGCAGCAGGCCCCAATTTTAGTCGAAGAATTATTGGCAGCTGATTACTGCTGGGTGAGGAAAAGCTAACCTTCTTAAAGGGAGGGACTCTAGATAGGCTGACTAGACCTCAGTGGATGAACTTGCACTGATGGACGTCTGGGGATACTAACTTGACACATAGGCTTTAACACGAATGACACTATGTATGAATTCTAGTGGGTGGGGGAAGCCTATGGGAGGGTGCCAATGGGGAAGGAGGTATAAAAGATGATTCTGTGGGGCTGGAGAGATGGCTCAGTGGTTAAGAACTCTGGTTGTTCTTGCAGAAGACCCAGGTTCGAATCCCAGCACTCACATGGCAGCTAACAACTGTCCATAACTCCAGTCCCAGGGGATCCTACAATCTCTTCTGACCTCTGTGGGCATTGCATGACACGGGTGCACTTACCTACATGCAGGCAATACACTCATACACATAAAACTAAAATAATAAAATATTTTAAAAAGTAAAAAAGATGATTCTGTATGAAATCAGGAGGTATATAAGATGTTCTGTAAAAAAAAAAACAATAAAAATTTTACAAAAAAATAGAGAAACTACAACCTCCACAAAAGTAATATTATTCAGCCTTTATGAGGAAGGAAATCTTGACATTTGTTTCAATGTAGGCAAATCTTGAAGTCATTATGTTAAATGAAATAACCCAGTCATCAAAGGACAAATACTCTGAAATTCCATATCTAATGTAGTTAAAGTCATAGAAATAGAAAATAGGAAAGTTGTTGCCAAGGGCTGGAGGGAAGGTTGAGGGGAAATTAATGCTTAATAGGAGTTACAGTTTTGCAAAATGAGAAAATTCTAGAGAGCACTTGCACAATAATGTGAATACATTCAAAACTATTGAACTATACATTTCAAAACGGCAAACATGGCAAATTGACCATTAAGTGTTTAGAATCACAATTAATAAAAATTAAATAAACAGGGCTAGTGAGAGAGCTCAGTTAGTAAAGTGCTTGCTGTGCAAGTGTGAGGAACCGAATTTGATCCCCAGAGCCTAGCTATGTAAAAATCCCAGTGTAGGGGCATGCTCTTATAAGTCCAGTGCTGGTGATGAGATGGACACAGGCAGGTCCCCAGGGCCAGCCTAGCCTAATCGGTGAGTCCAGGTCAATGAGAGACCTCAAAAACCAAGATGGGCACACCTGTGGAATGATAGCACATGCACCCCCATATACACAAACGCAACAAACCAAACGAGAGAGAGAGCTCGTGCATGTGAGAGTGCACACATGTATGCACACACACACACACACTCAGAGGTAAAACGTTTCTTTGTAGAAACAAAAATTTTTGATAAGCAACTAGTTTTTTCTATAGGCATATATTTGAGCTTTTGTATGTTAATTTTTTTTAAATAGGAGACTGGAGAGAAGGCTTAGCCGTTAAGAGCATGTACTGCTCTTGTAAAGGACCCACCTGAGTTTGATTCCCAGCACTCATATCTGGCAGCTTACAATCACCTGTTACTCATAATCCAGGAGATCCAATGTCCCTCTCTGGGCTGTCTTGGCACCTGCACTCACACATGCATACCATCCCCATATACACATAATTAAAAAAATTACAGCAAGGTTTGTTTGTAATTTGGGTGTGGGCGACTCAAGTGGCTAGTTTCAGCATCTCTGAATCTGCTGACCGTGGATCACCACTCCCTTCCCACCCAGAGGGAAAAATAAGGCAGAATTGGGGTTCTGGACAAGAGGTTTAAGATATCATGAGAAGGTTCTCATTAATGGCTCTAGAGGTGAAGGATTTGACAGAACCGAAGCGAGAGGGACTGGGTACTGTGGTCTTAAGAAAGTTTCTTTGCATGATATAATTAGATAATTGTAATTTTCCTTGGCTGCTGGAACAGAGGTTCTAAAAACCTTGGAATTTCCTGATAGGAGCTCCTTTAGAACACACCTGAGTTTATGTTATTGGGATGACTCTAGATGAGTGGAGGATGGTTGCCAGAGAAGCCAATCAGGTGATTATAGGGTTAAAATTTTTACCCCTTGAGAAAGCAGGAAGGCTTGGCATTAAATGATCAAAGGCCAATGATTTATTTGCCCATGTAATGAAACTCTACAAACTCCCATAAACAACACTGTAAGAAAGGTTCAGGTTGGAGATATTGGGAAGCGGGTGAGCCCAGAGAAGTCTTGAAGCTTCATAACACCCCCTCCAGTGTCTTGCCCTTTATTGCTTCCATCTGGCCATTCCTGAGTTGCATTGTTCATAATAAAGTTATGGTCATAAGTCAACTGCTTTCCTGGGTTCTGGGAGTCAATTATTGAACCTGAGGCAAAGGTCATGGGAGCCCTTGATTCATAGCTGATCAAGTATGAGTGGTCCCAATTTGGGATTGCATCTGAGGTGAAGGTCATCTTGTGAAATTGCACCCCTAACTTCTGGTACCTAACAGTAATTCCATGTAGCTGTTATCAGAGTGGAAGTGAACTGTAGAGTACCTCAGTAGTGTCAGAAAGCACATAAGATTCGATTTCCTCCCTGGGTCTGGGTAGAGTGCAGTTATTATTTCTCCCTTCCTAAATCATTCAACTCTAAGTAGAAAATGCCACCTCTGGACCTCAACCAAGCCTGGCAGTGAGGTATGACTGGCCACCAGGGTGACCAAAGAATTGCTAGTGTTAGAGCTATTATTTGCCATTCAGACCCTGGCTAGCCACATGGACATAACCAGGGCCAACTCTTCCTGGCTGTCAGATGCCTTGTTCCCACCTGAGATGCTCAGAGAGAAGCCATGAGCTCTGAAAAACACCATATTGTTCTATGATGTCACCTCTGGAATGTTCTGAGTGTTTTGGTGACCAGCGTATGCATAGGACCTACACCTGGCACCTCACATTGGTATGGATTTTTACTTGATATAGAAATAAGACCAGGAAGAGGTATAACTATTTGTGCTTCAAAGACTTGCAGGAGAGTTTTACAACAGTTAATACCTGTCTTGATTTCTGTTCAGTAATCAGTAAGACTTCTGGTCAGGTACCATCTACACACACCTTCAGACTGAAATTTCATGAGGTACAGAATTGATAAGAAGGGCATACAAGTATAGAGAGCAGCTATGTATTTCTGATGAGCCGTTGAGGCCCTGAGGATGGGTTGGGAAGCAGAAATCTAATTATTTCTTTTCCACAGCACTCGAGGCCAAATTTTACAAGAAAAAGAGATACCAGATCTGAAATCCTAGAAATTCCAATCAATGTGGTTCTACCTCAGGTAGGGATAATCACAGAAGGATATAACCTGTTAGTTTTAGCTAGACTAACACTGTTTTTGAAATTTAGCAAGGTGTTAGAGAATAAGCAGAGGAGTCAGGCCCTCAGATTCTTGTGGTTGGCTGTTCCCTGGCTGTGTGTCTGGGGAAGACACATGGCTTCTCTGGACCTTGTATCCTTTGGCCTTGAATGAGGGGCCTGGGTGTGATGACTGATCAGATCTCCCAGCCCTAGACTTTCAAGTTTGGATGGTATGATGAGAAAAACTAACCTTATTAAAGGAGATCCTTCATTGCATGGACAAATATATAGCCAATTTGGATTCCTGGAGAGAACTAGGACTGAGACTTGGAGTCACAAGAATAATTTGAGCTGAAAACCCAGAATGTCATTCAAGGAAGAAAGAATCATTTGCAGTTGTCAAGAGAATTAAGCCTTGCAATGTACCAGAGTTTAACAGGGATGGACATTCATTTGCTTCTTTTGAGGCCAATGAGTAGTTAAAATCCTTGCAGGTGATGGCGCTCAGGTCTCCTCCTATATGCAGCTGCTTCTTGGCAGGGTCCCTTTGATTGTTTCTTCTGCTGCTGTGTCACAAAGGGGTGACCCTGCTTTCTCCATTATCACCTAAGCCCCCCTTGCAAGACTAGGGTCATGCAGCCAGTAGAGGGGAAATGTAGGATGTCGGGCTCCAAGGCAGAGGTAACTATCTGAAAGTTTGGTTCAAGGATGTATATTCAAGGGGGATAGATGGGCATTCTGTATTAGTGTGATTGTAACAGTCTCAGCAAATGTGTTTAGCAAGAGAAAAAAAATCAGACAAGAAAACATTCTGAATATTTGTTTTCATACTATTCTTACATTGTAATGAAACAGATCCAGGATATTAGCTAGGTTCTCTTGGTCATTCTGTAGAATGACAAGAGGTGTAGGAATCTTTCTAGGTCTGATTCTTTCTACATGAAATACACATCTGTCTGCTACTCTGCCTGAGACTGGGCATGGTTTCTTTGGTTCCTCACCAGCCCACATAGACCAGTCTTCACATGGCCTAATGGCTGAGGATTCCAGCCTAGCTGTGGGAGAGGGAGTGGAAGGTGGTTGTATTTATTAGTTACTGCTCTCACTGCTGTGACCAGATACCTGACAAGAAGCAAGTTAAAGGAAGAAACGTTTCCTTTGGCTCTTGGTTCAGAGGTACAGTCCATCATGGAGGGGAAGCTGTGGCAGTGGGGGCTTCTGTTTTACATCTCTGCAGATCAACTGTTTTTATTTAGTCCAGGATCCTACCTCATGGAATGGTCCTACCCACATTCATCGTGGGACTTCCTTTCGCTAATGATCCTCTTTGGAAAAGCCCTCATAGACACACCCAAATTTGTGTCTCCTTAATGTCCTAGGTGTTCCTTAATCCAATAAAACTAGCAATCAAAATTAACTTATCACAATGGTCATGTGATAGAAAGATTAGATTCTTCCATCTCTCCTTAGCACAATGTTCCATCCCCAGCTCCCAGAGACAGCCTGGTAGCCAAGTCTAGGAGGTGAGAAGGTGGTTTGAGAAGTCTAGGGCTTGCTCTGGGGCTGTCCTCTTCCTGTGCTGTAGGACCTGGTGCAGCTATTTGTTATCTTGGAGGGCAGAGGGGTATGGAATGAAGGGGCCACTGCTATCTGGAGGTGTGGTTCCCATGAGCAGATGTGGCCTTGGGTATGTCACGTCGGGCTTGGTCAGCAGTCATCGATAGGCCAATGAAACAAGTAATGATGAAAAGCAGGAAAGGGAGTTAGTCAATATGGCCATATTGGGAGGAGGTAAAAAAGAGGTCCATTGATCCCTCAAGTCCATCTTCCACAAGAGATTTAGGTTTAAATAGAAGGCTAGATGGATACAAACCTATACCAAGGCAGACCTGGTATGCAGGATATGGTCCAGCTGATCATCATTTTCTCAGCTCCAGTCTCTTCTGAAAGGTGGCCTGACAAGCTATCAGGATTGTGATAACTTTCTGAGAGACAAGCTTCCCTGCTGGCTGGAACCAGGTCTCAGCCTTTACACTCTTCAGATGTGAGACTATTGGAGAAATTTCTTAAGGTCTACTTTTTCAATAATCAGATAACCAAAGGGAGAGACTCAAGTTTCTCTTTAGAATACCTTCATTTCTGCCAGAATGGTTACACGTACACCTGTCAGGGGGCGGGGCAGGGCACAAGGCAGGCAACCTGCCAGGATTCCCCAGACTGGTCCTCTTGGGGGAGGGAAGTGGACGTTGATAACTAGGTGATTTGAACTCAGCTACACCCAGAGCTGTGAGAGGAATCTCTGTGCTTGCTGTACCTCCCCAAATGAGATGGCATATGCTTAGGAGTAAGGATTAATCTGAGAAACAAGAGGAGGAAGTCTATTGACCAAGTGCTGAGAATATCATGTGTTTGGCACAGGGTTGTGCAAATGTGAGGCAGAGAATTCATAGCCATGGGAACTGGGAAGCTCACTAGGAAGGAGAGAGTTGAGATTTAACCCAGGTCAGTGCTCTGCTTCTTACACTGCTCAGCTGAGCCAGGTGGTATCTTAGCTCTCATTCTTCTCACTTTTAGGAGATAGTGCCTCCTCTCTCCTTATCTGGACTGCTACTCCTCAAGTTCTGTGTGTTTCTGCTTCACATGGCTTCATTCTGGGCAGAGTTCATTAGGTTTGGAAGGGAATTTTAACAGCACCTCTGGCCTAAGGCTTCCAGCTCCCAGTCCTGCTGTGTGGGTGGACTTCTCAGTTGCACTGCAAATGCCTATGATTCAATAGTTGTTATCACCCTTAGGTCTTTTCTGGTCTTATTGATTTCCCATTTTTCTTCCTCACATTGAATATGTGTGTTTTCAGATCTATTTCCCTCTAGCACATTAACTTGCAAGTCATCAGTGTTATTTCCTGCCCAAGCAACTGATCTCCTGGTTCCTTTTATACACAGAGTCAATTCTCCCAGGCATTTACACTTCCCTAGTGAGCACTCTGTGAGTTTTGTTAACACATTGTTATTCCTAGATCATTAGTGAAGGAAGGATCTCCTTTCCCTTTGCCTGGGGTTCTTCTTCAAAGTAATGTACACCCCTTATCCCGCAATGCCAATCTGAATAACTTCAAGGAAGATTTCAGGAGATTCTGTGCCAAACAATTAGCTAAAACCACCACATCTGACATCTTTACTGTCTTTGCTGTTAGTATTAAAATTTGATCAAAATTAACCACATTTATCTTGTAAATTATCTTTTCACCCATTCATATTTATTAAAATAAACATTGAATTTATCATAGTACTGGAGAGGTGAATTAATTTAAAAAAAATGTAATGGAACTCAATGGTGAAAGTTAGTGTATGTGATTTCTCCTTCTTGGATCCAGGCACCCTTCAGTATCACATGCATTAAAAGTACCTCAGATGGATGAGCATTCCCTGCTAGTTCACTCCTAGACAAAGTAGGTGTTTTAAAAACTTTATCAACAGGCTTGGACTCTGGAGCATGCGGAGATGTCTTCTGGGTTGTGATAGCTATGCCTTTCAAGAAGTGGAGAGATCTTCAGTGCTGATATTCCTCAGTTTTCTGTTGCTATAACAAAATACCCAAGACTGGGAAATTTGTAAAGAATAGAGACTGGATGTCCAAGAGCATGGCACTATTAACATCTGATCAGCTTCTGGAAAAGGCCTTCTTGTTACATCACAACATGGCAGAGGGGATCACTTGGTGAGACAGGGCAAACACCACCAGGAGTGGCCAGGCCTGTGCTCAGGGAGGATTTCAATCTATGGGTGGTGTTTCAAGCATCGTGAGGACCATGTTTATGTCCACAGCACTTCCTGGATCCCAGCACTAACACATTGTTGGGTCACAACTATGACGACATTATTTGTTCCTTGCTCCGGAGGACAAAATACCTTGATCAGCTTTTTAAAACACCTAATGGGTAGTATGATGAACCTCAGAGTCAAATGTAGCCCCCTCCTACAAGTTTATACCCTATTATGCCATGAAAGAGCCAACTTTATTCTTTTCCACCTGCTGTCTCTCCATCCCTATGTGAGAACATCTCCCAGAGACCAAGAATGAGCCAATCTTTCCTTCATAGGTGGAACCTTCCAGGGTCAGGAGAACCTTCCCATGATGTTCCAAGTACAGACCTTTGTCAGGGTCCCAGGTCATCAGACACTTAGTTCAGTTTGTGAACCACTCCAGGAATATCACTGGCCTGACCCAAGCGCCATACTGAGAAGGACAGGGCTGTGAGTACTGGCCACAGAGGGCTTGGATTTTTGAACCTTCATGTATTTGCTCACATTTTGGAAAGCTTTTTGGAAAGCAATAATATATTCAGCATTTGCAAGAGCAGTTTAGAACAGGAACAGTTAAATCTTACCAGTATGACTATTTCTTTGGTCTTTGTGACAAGCTTGCCTATGATTTGTTCTTTTACAAACCCAGGAAGTAGGCAGAGCAGCCATGTGCAGGCTCATTTCAGAGGTGGTATTTAGGGAAGCAAAGACTTTCTCGATAGGCCTCAACCATGGGACCTTTGAGATTAAAGCTACGGGGACTTGCGGCCTCTGCTTTGGCTTCTAGGCTCAAGATGATGAAATGGATGGTGGCCTAGTTTGATTTGCTGTGATAAAAATACCCTGACAAAAACAGCTTAGGGGAGAAGGTTTAGTCCACTTCTGATTATAGGTTACATTCCATTTCAGGGAAGTCAAGGCAGGAAGTTGAGGCAGCTAATTACATCCACAGTCAAAAGCAGAGAAAGAATAAACACACACATGCTTCTAGAACTTGGTTCACTTTCTCCACTCTTCCCAGGGGTGCAAACGCAGGGAATGGTACCACCCACAATAGGCTCGTTCTTCCCACTAAGAACTATCCCTCATAGGCATGTCCACAGGCCAATACAGTCTAGATAATCCTTTATTGAGACTCTCTTCCCAAGTGATTCTGGATTGTGTCAAGTTGACAATT